CCCCCCCCCGCCCCCCTCCACTCAATGCGACTCGTGTGCTCACCCCTCTCCCCTCCCACCACCACCGCCACTATCGCGACCACTACCATGACACATATCATCAAACCAGGGGCGGACGGACGTGAGCTCCGCCACCTGGTGCTGGACAACGGCCTCGAGTGCATGCTTGTCCACGACCCGGAGGCCGAGAAGGCCGCGGTGGCCCTCTCGGTAGCCGTGGGCCACATGGCTGACCCGGAGAGCCTCCCGGGCCTCGCACACTACCTGGAGCACATGCTGTTCCTGGGTTCGGACAAGTACCCAGAGGAGGACGCATATCGCAAGTTCATCAACGATCACGGCGGAGGCTGCAACGCATCTACATCGTCAGAGAAGACCACCTACCACTTTGATGTCGAGGCATCGGCTCTGGCTACGGCGCTGGACATCTTTGTCTCCATCTTTATCGCCCCGCTCTTCACTTCCTCGTGTGCTGCTCGTGAGGTCAAGGCTGTCGACTCGGAAAACTCAAAGAACTTGACCTCAAACTCGCGGAGGCTCTACCAGCTCATCAAGTCTACCGCAAAGGCAGACTACGCCTTTGCCCACTTTGGCACAGGAAACCTCGAGACGCTGGCTACTGCTCCCGATGCTGCCGGCATCGACGTTCGCGCTGCCCTTCTCGACTTTCACGCCAAGTACTACTCGGCAAACCTCATGCGCATGTGCCTAGTCTCCCCGCTCCCGCTCGATGACATGGCCGCCATGCTCCACGACGCCCACGTTCCGCTCATCGCCAACCACAACGCCCCGCTCCCGGTGTTTGACTCGGCCGCTGCCTCGCGCGTCTCAGCGGACTCCTGCCTGACCGATCGCCTCGCCGCTGCCTCGCCGCTGCCCTTTGCCGACCCGCCCTCCGGCCCGCACTGGTACACCATGGTCCCGGTCTCCGAGGAGCGCTCCATGGTCTTCCTCTTTGCCCTCCCGGGCCTCCGCCACGCTTACTCGACCAAGCCCCTCGCGCTCATCACCCACATCCTCGGCCACGAGGGGAGCGGCTCGCTGCTCTCGGCTCTCCGCGCCCGGGCTGGGCCACAGAGCTCTCGGCCTACACCTACCTTGAGCACTGGGAGTTTACCGTTCTCGCCGTCAAGGTCATGCTCACGCCTGCTGGTCTCGACTCCACCGATGCCATCGCTGCCGCCGTCTTTCACATGCTCCGCCTCGTTGCTGCCGCTCCCGACGCCGTCCTCGCCGCACTCTACGCCGAGCACGCTGCCATGGCCGAGATCAACTTTACCTTTCGCGAAAAGTCGTCGCCACGCTCCACCGCAAAGTCGCTCGCCGTCGCTCTCCACACCTACGCCCCCGAGCACATCCTCGTTGGTCCGTACCTTCACAGCCCGGCCGGCCTCAACGTCGGCCTCCTCCGCAACGTTGTTCTCCCCTGCCTCGTCCCAGAGCTGGCCCGCGTCTACGTCGTCGCCCACGCTACCGCATCGTCGGCCTCCCTCACCGAGCGCTGGTACGGGACCAAGTACGGCCGGGTCGAGCTCTCGTCTGAGCAGCGCGCTCTCTTCAACGGCACAGATAGCCTCCCGGCCCTCTGCTCGACCCTTGCTCTCCCGGAGCTCAACCCTTACATCCCAGACTCGTTCGACATCCTGCCCGGATGCGACGGCGTCCGCCCTGGCAGCGACGACCCGCTCGCCCCGCCGGTCCCGCTCAAGCTCATCGACGATGCCACTGGCCGCGTCTTCTACATCCGCGACACCGTGTACGCCCAACCCAAGGTGCTGGGCTCAGTCACGCTCTACTCGCACGAGGGCACCGCGGCGTCGCCGGGCCTCCTGGCCGCCAACTACGTGCTCGATCTCTTCCTCCGCGACGCGCTGCGCGAGTTCAAGTACCCAGCTTCACTAGCTGGCCTCCACGCCTCGTCCACGGCATCGTCGGTCGGCTACCGTGTCAGCTTTGGTGGTTACTCGCAGCACATGGGTACATATCTTGTCGACTTTCTGGCCGCCATTCGCGCCGTCGTGCTCGACCCAGGCAAGTTTGAAGTCTTCCGCGACCAGGCACTCAAGGTCTACCTCAACCGCAAATCCAACTCACCACACTGGCACGCCCGTCGCCACGTCGCCGCGCTTCTTGTCCCAGCCTCGTGGTCCGATGCCTCTGTTGTTGCCCAACTCGCCAGCCTCCGCTTTGCCGACGTCGAGGCCGCTCTGGGCCGGTTTATGCGCATCGGCTTTGCCGAAACCCTTGTCTACGGCAACGTGAGTGCCGAGACGGTCGTCGGTTGGGACGCCGCGCTCCGCCACGCCATGGGCTGGGCCCCGCTCCCTCTCGCGCTCCTCCCCCACACTCGCTGCGTCGCCCTCCGACCCGGATCGCGACTCGTCACCCGCGCTCGCGCTCCGCACGACGACGACACCAACTCGGCGCTTGCGCTCTACTTCCACATTCCAAACGGCCACGAACCGCACGTCCACTACGCGACACTGCTGCTGCAGCAGGTCATCAAGCAGATGGCCTTTGACGACTTGCGAACCCGGCAGCAACTTGGATATGTTGTGTGGACTCTCGCCCCGACGTACGCCGGCGAGCGCTTCTTTGGTTGGGTCATCCAGTCGGCCGAGCACTCGCCTGACGCCCTTGAGGCCGCCATCGACCAGTTTGTGGCCGAGCACATGGCCCCGGTCATCGCCTCGCTCGCCACCGACGCTGCCCTCCTCGAGCAGCACAAGGCCGCCCTCATCCTCAAGCACACTCTCCGTGACAAGACCTTCCGTGAAACCTTTTCCTCCGCCCGCTCGCTCCTCACCTCACATCGCTACGAGTTTGACCGCAAGGACCGCGCCGCCGCCCGCATCGCCGCCCTCGCCGCCACCGATCTTGCCTCGATCTTTGACCGCTGCATCGCCCCGCCCGGTGCCGAGGGTCCTTCGGCCCGCGCCGTCGTTGCTGTCAAGTACCACGGCCGCAACCATGTCAACGAGCTCACCGCCGGAACCGTTCTTGACGTCGAACGTGCCTCTGCCGCCTGTGAGCGTCTGATTGCTCTCGAAGCCGACGACGACGCCATCGCCGCCTGGCAGCCCCTCCAGACCCTCCACCCTGTCCGCTTCCCCCTCCGCGTTGTCGACCCACTCCTGCTCACCCCCACCCCACCGCCGTTACCGAAGCATGAGTGCTGGACCGGTCGATGCCCAGGCGATAAAGCCCGCACCACGATCCGCCGCCGCTACCGTCATCATCGGTGTTCGCGTGCTGATGCGAACGCGGCGGCAAGTTGATGCGGTGTGCCGACCGAGGGTGATGCGGCTGACGGTGCTCGGCCTATTGCCATATCGTTACCTCGCCACACTTGCCTGTCTACACCACACCCAGGCCCCCCATGGGCAAACGGCGATCAGCCCACATGCAAGCAGGCAAGAGAAGCACGCCGGCTGCAAGCGCGAGCGCAAGCGGGCCGACGAGCGAGTCGACCGCCCATGCCGAGTCGACCAGCACCGACGAGGCGGCGAACGAAGTGGCGATGGTGGCGACGGCGACAAGCGGACAGAGGACAAGGATGGGGACGGGCGGAAAGCGGGGAAGCAAGGTCGAGCCAGCAATGCGGGTGCACGAGCGGAGACAGATCATGGCCGAAGGTCTGACCGAGGAGCAGCGGGTGGCGCGCGAGTTCCGATGGCTCAACCGCGGCATCATCCTCGTCCTCACCATTGCCTTTACCATCTACGTCATGTACACAGTCAATGAGTACCGGCAAGACAAGGAACAGCCAGGGACAACAGTCTCGGTCGACCAGGCCTCATCGCTGGCGTATCCGACCTTTACCTTTTGCAACATCAACGACTACGACTTTGCTGTCCTAGTCGCTTTCCTCGGCCAAGGCAACGACGTACCGCAGCCCATCGAGCAGACGGTGCACTTTGAGGAGGCCATCTTCCGCGCCACTGGCATGTACTGCTACACCACCAACTCGGCCCCGCGCGACGACTTTCCGCCGCCACCACCGGGTTCTGCCTCCCCGCCCTTTGTCGCAAGCGCAGCATCGACCGACTACGCCCTCGAGATCGTCTTTCTGCTCAACACCTCGCTCGCCAGCAACAACATCCTCTTCTACGGCATCGGTGTCATGCCGTACCTGTTCGGGACCAAGCCGACCGAGAACGACGTCGACCGCATGACCAACTTTGGCTCACCGGGCCTTTCCACCGTCATGACCATCAAGCGCGAGATCTTTGAGAGCATCAACAACGCCCAGTCAGTCTCGTACTCGATCTCTCAGTCGACCATCGCCCTCGCGCAGGACTCGCCACAGCTCGCATCGATCCCGCCCGGCTTTAGCGTTGTCCACATACTTCTCCAGTACGATAGTCTGAACACCGTCGTGACCAAGGAGACCTACGCATACCCCATGACCTCGCTGCTTGGTGAGCTCGCGGGCATGGCTGGCACTATCCTCGGCCTTGACTGCCTCTCTGGCATTCTGCTCGTTCAGCTATGTGGCTTCAAGATGATCCAGCGCCGCCGCAACGCCACCCAGCAGAAGCTGAACGAGCTCGATTTTGCCGAGCCATAGCAAGGCTGCCGCAGTCGGCGGTGGCCACCTGGAGAGCAAAAGCGGGGGTTTATGCAGCCGAGTTCAGCGCCCTTGTAGAGACGATAAGATAAAGTCAGCGACGCGCTCCCCAATCATGATGCACGGCGCGTTGGTGTTGCCTGAAATGAGTGTCGGCATGATGGATGCGTCGGCGACGCGCAGACCGTCGACACCGACAACTCGCAGTTGCGGATCTACAACAGTGCCAGCCGCGCCAGGCTCGCCCATCTTGGCCGTCCCAACTGGGTGGTAGACAGTGACAGCAAAGTTACGGACATGCCACTCCCAGTACGAGACGCCGGCGGCGGCGCCGTCGGGCGCCGACTCGTAAAGCGGCGACGTCGTCGGTGACGACGCGTCGATCCACTCGGCGTACGCCTCGTCAGCGGCGAGCTTGAGAGTGTCATGGACAGCAGCGACGAGAAGGTCGACATCGGCCTGTTCCGCAAGGTAGTTTGGCTGAATGAGCGGCGGGTCAAATGGTGACGACGAGTTGAGAGTGATCGCACCGCGAGACTTGGGGTGGAGGATGATCGGCAGAAAGTTGATACCTCCCGCCTGCCAGCGGTCCGGGTCATCAATCACTCCCTGCGCCACAAACTCGGGCTTGGTTCCGATGTTTGCTGCTTCGACGTCGGATCCACCGGTTGCTATCATGTGGATCTGCACGTCCGGCACCGACGCCGGAAGATGGTCTGAGGTGCCGGTCGAGTAGAACGCCGTGCCCTCGAGTCCGTTGGTGGTAAGCAGACCGCCACTAAAGACAAGATACTTCAAGAGCGTGGTGAGCGATTCAGCACGCTTCTTGGTGATAAGATGCCCACTCGCCTTGTCCTTGGTCGGGAACCGAACAGGAACCATCAAGTGATCGCGGAGGTTGCGGCCGACGCCGGGCAAATCCACCACAGTCTCAATGCCGGCAGCAGCGAGAACATCCTCGGGCCCGATGCCCGATAGCATGAGTACGTGCGGCGAGCCAACAGCACCGGCCGACAGCACAACTTCTGTGGTGGCTCGGACAACTCGCCGCGGCGAGTCCTCACTGGCGACGCCGTCAGAGTCGGCAGTGTCGGCAAACTCGACGCCGACCGCCCTCACCTTCCCGGACGCCGCATCGGTCTCAGTCACCACCCGAGTGACATGCGCAAAGGTGCGAACATGGAAGACACCACTAGCCGAAGCTGCGGCGGCACGAGCGAGTGCAGGCCGGAGAAAGGCTGCGGCCGACGAGGCGCGCACCCCGTCCTTGATGGTCAGATCACAATGGGCGATGCCCATCATGCCGCCAGCACCATTGTAGTCCTCGTTGCGGGCGAGCCCGAGCGCCTTCCCGGACGCAATAAACGCGTCTACCAGCGGCGATGACGTTTGCGGCTTGGAGACCGTGAGCGGACCGCCTGTTGCGCGATGGGTCTCGTTGGCGGCGAGCGGGCGGGCGACGTAGTTTTCCGACTTGCGAAAGAACGGCAGAACGTCAGCAAAGGACCAGCCCGACACACCCCACAACTTATCATAATCGTCCTGTGCCCCGCGGACATACACCATGTAGTTGATTGATGAAGATCCGCCAAGCGTCTTGCCCCGCGGCCACCGCGAGCGCCGCTCGTGCATCGACCCGTGCGATGCAGCCTGCGGCTGCGTGGTGAACTGCCAGTCGAGCTTGGTCCGCTGCAGCAGCGAGCACCCCGCCGGGATGGCCACCTCCATCATAGCCGAGTCTGACGGCCCGGCCTCTAGCAACAGCACTCGCGCATCTGGTGCGCCCTCAGCCAGCCGGGCGGCAGCCACCGCCCCTGCCGACCCGCCGCCGACAACCACGTAGTCGTACTCGTCAAGCAGCGGGGTGTGGGCAAACTCGGCTGGTGGCGGGACGAGGACTCGGTATGCAGCCGCAGCCGCAAGTACAACAAGCACAGCACTCGTCCAGAAGCGACAGGTCATGGTAAGGCTGTTCGCGTCTTTGGGGCAGGAACGGTGTGTCCGCAGGTGCTTCCGCCTGTCTTTCCTCTCTTCAAGACGCGTGCGTGTGGGCGCAAAAAAAAGGTCGCAGTTTGCGCCTGGGTCTTTTCTTGGTCACTCGTGTTTGCCTCGCGCCTGACCGGTGCCTCTGTCAGCTCGTGAACTGCATCTGCGGCCATTGTTGACGACAACAAGGCTTTGGATCTCGGCATGGCCGGACCGATTCAAGTCCGGATGTGACGGTACAAGGGAATCGTGCGTCCAAGCGGCGAAACAGGTGACAAATCATGCATGTGGTTTCGGGCTGTGTTGGGCGGGCAGGTGACATGGGGGGAAAAAGGAGCAATGTTACGCATAATGGGTTGGCGCGACGGTGCTGAGAGTCAACAACCCGATCACGCCATGGGGCAGATGTACTTGGACTGCCAAACGAGAGAGTACGGAGCAGCCGAGTTGGTCACAACCGGCTGCCCGATGCCAGCGCCGAGGTTGCACATGAAACGGATGGAGACTTGGGGATAGGCGAGGGTGAAACCGCGCTCGGACGGGTTGAAGACGCCGAGGTTCGAGGCGAGCGACTGGCACTGCGAGCCCGAGTTTGTGATGAGACCGACAAAGGTGCCGCGCAAGCACTGGGAGAAGAGGCAGTAGCGACAAAGCGAGTAGGCGATGTAATCGGTGTCGCCACCATCGCCCGACGGAATGGCCGAGATGCTTGTGGTCTGACCCGAAGCATTGTACGCATCAAACAGAGCCTGGAGGTTGTACGTCCCGTTCCACGACTCGCACTGGATCAGATCATCGCCAACGTTCTCCACCACTGGACCATCATTCACCACAACAACGTCATCAGCGTCCAAGGACGACGACGCCGTCGCACTTGAAGCGACGACCACCAGCACGACAAGCGCCACCAGGAGGATGTTCAGAGACTAAAGAGGGAGAGGATGTGAGTGTGGTAGGGGGCAGGGAGGGTGACAGTGGGCTGGGTTGCGGAAGACATACCATACTATGGGAGTGAGCTGGTGGGCTGGTGTTGGTGGGCGCAGGTGGGTGTGTGGACGTGTGCGGGGGGGCGTGCAGGGAGTGACGGGGGAAAAGAAGGCAGAAGGAGACAGAGGAAAGCGGGAGAGACTCCAAATGGCGAGCCACCACCACCACCACCCGGCCATGCTGCGCTGTCCCCCACTCCTGCCCCCACCCGACCACCCGACCACTCCTCTTCCCCTCTCCACCACCACCACTACCACCACTACCACCATAATGACAAGTCTACCATTTGGTCTCTCGTCGCTACGCGGGTATGCCGACGGCGCCGGGTCCGGGACCGAGTCGGGCGACGAGAGCCCCTGTGGGCGGAGCGGGTTCGGAACCGAGACCGGGACTGAGACCGAGACAGACACCGACACGCTCGGTACCTCACCAGTCTTTGCACAGGCTCCCTTCCCTATGGTGCGCCAGTCTGGCGGGCGGCGAAAGCGGGGAGCCGGTGCGGCTGGTGGTTCCGACTCGGGCGCGAGCGGGAGCGGGAGCGGGAGCGGAAGCACTGGGAGCGAGGTAGTGGACGGCAAGGACGGGCTGGACGACTGGGGCGGGGTCGGGGGCTGCGCGGGCGGGCGGAGCGGAGACCGGTCAAGATCTTCTGCTCAGTCCTACCAGAGATGGTGTACACACTCGGGTTTGGCTTGGACGCGCTGCCGAGGGTGGCGTACGCGCTGATCAACTGCATGCTCAGCTCGTCGGCCTTTGTCTCGGTCACCCACATCCACGACGAGCTCTCGCTGGTGGTCGACGAAGAGACGCTGAGCCTCTTCCTCCCGCACGCGGACGTGGTCAACTTGCACAGCCAGGCCTGGCGGGTCATCGAGATCTCCGAAGACAGCATGCAGTCGGCCGCCGGCGTTTTTGGCCGGCTCTCGGCGCCGCTGGCCGAGCACGACATCTCGATCTTCTATCTTTCGACGTATGCGTCCGACTATGTTCTGGTTCCGGCCGCACAGGTCCGCGATGCGATTGCAGCGCTCAAGAGCAGGTACGCGGTCGGAGTTGCCGGCGAGCTGCCCGAGGCGGCGCCGACATCGGCAATGGTGGCCAAGTTTGCCGCCGCCGGATCCAGCGCTGAGTCCAGCACCGGCACCGGTCTCACCGAGCCAGCACCGATGGCCGTGACATGGCCGGCGGTCGGTGATGCACTCCGAGTGCTGGCGGTGCCGGAGCGCCGGTTTACGGCAGTCTTTGGAGCTCTCTGCGCCGACTTGTTTGTGTCGGCCAACGCCGCAGCCGGGGCCGGAACCCGGTTTTTCTCGCTGACCAAGACTGCGGATGAGATCTCGATGCTGCTAGAGCAGCGAGTGGTCGACGCGCTGGAGGTGCCCGGCCTCACGCTCTGGTCACACACCTGGGTCCCACTCCGAGTCGAGGGCAACGTCGGCGGCGGGGATGGGTTTACCGAGACCGGCATCGTCAACCGCATTTCTGCCCCGCTCTCACGGGCAGGTATCCCCACGTTCCATCTCTCGACCTTTGCTTCGCACTTTTCCCTCGTTCGCCAACAGAACTCGACCGACGCCGCTGCTGCGCTGGAGCGGTCGTTCCAGGGCGCGAGCGCGAGCGTCTAGTCGAAGAGGGCGACGAGCAAGTCCTCGAGCGCGGCGACGTAGTTTGCGGTGTCGAATAGCGGCGAGGTGCCTCTGGCGAGGCGCACTGCGAGCGAGTTCTTGACCGTAGCGAGGCCACCGCTAAGAAGGGCCCGGGCGGCAGACTCGTAGGCCGACCACGAGTCAACCACCAGAGCACCGAGGGCGGTCGGCTCACCGGCGAATGCGGCGGAGACAAGCGAGGCACCAACCCGCGATTGGAAGGCATCGCCTGGGTAGGTGATGACCGGGACACCGGCCCAGAGCGCATCGAGCGCTGTGGTGTGTGCATTGTACACGTGGGTATCGAGAAAGAGGTCGGCGTGGGTGAGGCGGGCCACATGCGCTGTGTGCGGCAAGTGCGGCGCAAAGACAAGCGAGCTGCTTGTGTTCACGCCACGCGCGGACAGAGCGTCGACGATTGCGGCCTCGGCGTGCGACGACGACGACATGAGCCAGAGGACAGCGTCGGGCTGGGCGAGGAGGAGCCGAGCCCAGACGTCGAGAGCCTGGGTGTCGATCTTGTAGAGAGCGTTGAAGCAGACGAGAACGGTGGCGGTCTCCGGGAGGTTGTGATCGGCACGGGAGCCTGCGCGGGCAGCAAGCTCGCTCCGTGGCAGCCGTCGTGCAAACGAGTTGGGTTGGTAGGTGTGCGGGAGCAGGAGTAACTGCTCGGCAAAGAGCGTTGGATCAGGGGCAGTGATGGCATCGGCGACCATGTGTGTGACGTAGCTCGCGCCCATGGTGCCTGGATAGCCGAGCATGTTGACAATGACCGGAGCAGGCGCAAGCGCAAGGAGCTCGTGGCGGTTGCCGGCGGTGTGGCCGGTGAGATCAATAAGGACGTCGAGCCGGAGATCGTCGTGGATAAAGGCCGCCAGCGAGGCATGGTCCATGTCCCACACGCGATGAAAAGCGTGGCCGTAGAGAGCCTCGGTGGCGGTGCGCCCGGGAGAGCCGTCCGAGGGGCGGAGGGCAAGAAGCGAGGCGTTGACCACGCTGGGCTTGTGAAGCGACGGAACGTCGATCATCAGCCGCCCCACCGGGCTGCTGCCCCAGTCTGCAGAGAGGTAGCCAACACGGAGCGGGCCTGGGTTTCGCCGCGGTCGGCTCTGGCCCGGCTCGAGTTCCCATGTGTACGGCTCCAGCTCGAGAGCAGCAAGCGAGGCAAGGGTCCAGCGGGCGTAGGCAGCAGCCAGGTCGCGGAAGATGGCTGGGTCGAGATCAAAGGCGAGAGCGTGGAATGGGCGGGCAGCTGGACGCTTAGTTGGATCACCAGCATTGGCAGCAACGTCGGCAGCGATGCCTGCGGCGAGAACCGACTTGTCCTCGTCACGGGCAGCAAGGTCGAGGACCATCAGCCGTGCAAAGGCACGGTCAGAGAGCGCATGCGCCGAGGTAGGGTCGAGGTCCAGTGCGGCATTGATGGCTTCTAGCGCAGCGGTGTGGTCTGAGCGGGCGGTGTGGACCGATGCCAGGGCAAGGTAAACTTCGGCGGTGGGCATCGATGCCAAGCCGGCGCGGTAGAGTCTGAGTGCGTGGTCAAGGTCGCCGGACTCAAACAGGGCTAGCGCCCAGTTGAAGGCATTCTCGACAGCGGCGGTAGAGGAGGTCGAAGTGTCAGCGCCACTGCCAGCTGTGGCGATGGTAGCAGCAGCACGCTCAAAGGCGGCCAGCGCCGCGGGAAGGCGACCAAATCGGCGGTGGAGCATGCCAAGGACAGTATAGGCGGCAGGATCCGGCTTTGCTGTCGACTCGAGGACGGCGTCGAGAAGCCGCGAGGCGCGCGCAAGTTCTCCAGCATCTAGGGCAAGGCGGGCGTCGGCGACCTGGAGCATGCCGCCGTGAGCAGAACGGTAGGCGCTGGATCCGAGGTGGCGGCGGGAAGCGTCGAGTGCCTCAGCGGCAGCGTCGAGGTGCCCGCGAGTCCGTTCGAAGCGGACAAGATCGGCGTACGCGCCAGGCTCGCCGGTCTCAAGTAGAACGGTGAAAGCAAGTCGAGCGTCTTCCTCGCGTTCGGGACCGAGTGCTGCCAGCGACCATGCGGCGTAGCGGCGGGCGTCGGTGAGGCTCGGATCGTCGGCGGCGCGGGTAAACCAGGCAGCAGCGCGGGCATGATCGCCTGCGCGCGCGGCCGCCAGCCCCGCGTTGAACAAATACCTCGGGTCAGCGGTGCGACCAGAGTCAACAATGTCACCGTAGGCGTCAGCAGCGGCGGCAAACTCGCTCTCTTCAAACAACAGGCCGGCGGCAAGCAGGGCGGCCGACGCATCGGTAGCTGGAGCGAGGGCGTCGGCCTTGCGAAAGGCAGCCAGAGCGCGATCGATCTTGCGTGCAGCCTTGAATACCAGGCCGCGGGCCAGATGCGCCAACGAGAGTCGTGGATCGGCGCGGACGGCAGCCGCTGCCGCCCGGGCTGCTTCTTTGCGGCGCGATGCGGCGTCGGCTGCCGCCGAAGCATCAGCCCAGGCCAGGAGTGCCAGCGCGCGATTAGCCGGCGCCAGCGCAGGCGACTCCGTCTTTGCTCGCCCAACAATCTCCTCTGCCGCTGTGTAGCAGTCGACTGCGTCGGGGAACCTGGCCTCGGCGTACGCGGTGTTGCCCGCAGCAACCAGGGCGGAATGTGTGGGAGGCGCGGCGGCGCCCGGGCACAGCGGCGGAGGTCGGGAGCGGCGGCGGAGGCGGGCGGCAGAGGCAGAGACGACGATAATGGCGAGGAGGACAAGGAGCGAGTGGAGGGACGGCATGGGTGCGTGGGCGCGCGGGGGTGGGCTGGAGTGCAGTGACGCGGTGACCTACGGCGACGCGGTGACGACACAAGCCAGTCACGGCCACAACGGCACGGGCATTCGCGGCGACGGCGGTATGGGGCTCGGCAAGCAAGGGTGTTATGGTAGATGAACTAATAACGCTTAAAGGTAAACTTGGGATTGGTCTCTTTCCAGTTGTCGGCCCCGGTCTCACCGTAGATGTGCGGGGCAAAGCCGCGGCGCTTGGAGCCTGTGAGCGAGTAGCCGGCGCCGTTGTTTGTGGCGGGGTCGGATCCGGGATCGCCGGGCCCGCGGTAGACGAGGGTCTTGGCGACGCCCTTGCCGGCCTGCATCTCGGGCTTGAGCGGGCGACGGGAGAGCCTGGGGCGGCCATCGGAGCCGTCGTAAGAGTGGCCGGAGACAATGTTGTACGAGGTACGATGGTGGACGTTGTCGGCAAAGACGCGCTTGGACGGTTGGCGGCGCTCCGAGGTGTGGTCGAGGCCGATGTTTGAGAGATTGGAGACGGAAGGCGCGGCCTCGGGCGCAGAGGGAATGTGGGCCTCGTGGCGGAGGAGGTCCGAGGTGTACGAGCTCGCTGGGTCTGGGTGGACGCCCTCGAGCGAGTAGCCTGGCGAACGTGAGCGGCGCGGGGCGCGGTGGTGGGTGGGCGAGGGCGAGCGGAGCATGTTGGCCTTGGTCTTGTGGCGATCAGGCTGGAGAATGTCGGTCATGTTTGTCCCCTGGTTCTTCTCGAGCAGCTCCTTGGCCTCGCGCGAGTACGGGTTGGGCGGGCGGCGAGGCGGCGGCGGCGGCGGATCGCGCTTCAGGTTCCACCACTCTTCGGTCTCGCGGGTGTAGTCGATTTCCGAGTGGCGCTTGCCCGGGCGGTACGGGAGAGGATTCGGGTTGAAGATGTCCGAGTCTGGCGGCGGGCCGACGGCGCCTGCGCCGCGGCGGCGAGGCGGGTTCTTCAGCTTGCCGACATGGAGGTCGCGAACCGAGCCGAGCTCGGCCTGCGGGGCGCGCGCGTGGCGCTGGAGCTGGGCCGAGCGGCGGCGGGACTCGGCGTCACGGGCGGCGCGCTCCTCGCTGTCGTCGGCGTACCGCTGGAGCACCGGGTTGTAGCGCTTGTTGTTGACCGAGGTTGCGGCCTGGAACCGCTGCATCTCACGCATGCGGTCGCGATCCGAGCGCGGGTCAAAGATGCGGCGGGTGGCGGCGCCCGAGGTCTTGGCGTAGTGCTCGTACTCGTGCTGCGGATCGGTGCCGGAGGCGAGCTGGGCCGAGGCCGAGGACGAGTCGACGCCGCGGCCGTACGGCATGCGCAGGCCGCGGCTATGGCCGTTGGCGTAGGGATCTTGATTGGCATCAGGAACATGCGCCGGCCCCCGCGATGGCCTTGGGCGGTATGCAGCATATGGCTCGTCAGCGCCCGGAGCATAATACGAGTGGCTCGCCTGCGACGGCGAGGCAGCCGGCGGCGGTGCACCGGACGAGTAGGCCTGGTGTGGGGCGGCGGCATGGATTCGCGGGTCGAGTTCGGCGCCTCCATGTGCGCCCAAGGCAAAGTGCGAGTCTGAGTACTCTGCCATGGGAAGTGGGGGAGTGGGGAGGGGTGGGGGTGGGGAGGGGTGGGGTGGCGAGGGGTGGTAACGGCAATGCTAATTGGGCGAGGGAGAGGGAACGAGTGAGGGGACGGGAACAGGGAATGGGAGTGGGAATGGGAATGGCGAAGGAATTCAGTTGGAACGGTTTGGGAGTGACAAGGGGGGAGATGGCATTGTCTGATGGTGGGGAGATGGCATTGTCTGAGGGGGGGTGGGGGATGGAGGGAGGGGATGCGGGAAAGGGGGTATGGGAGAAGGGTGGGGGGGAGGGGAGGAGGTGAGGGATGGGGAATGGGGGGAAAGGGCGGTGAGGAGCGATTGGGCTCTGGTCAGGCCATGGCTCTGGTGAGGCCTTTCAATATCATTCGTTGTTGGCACAGAGGTGGTGCGGTGACGGGTTGGCCGGCGACACCCGACGCTTGTGGTTGGTACTGGGCATCATGATCACGCCGGTGTTCAGACTCTCGCAAGACAACGAGTTTGTGTATGTTCACATTGTGCTCAAGTCGATCAAGGTATGGTTTCGCTGGTGGTGGTGGAAGGGTGGCCACCCGGGCGGGGGCGTGCGGGCGTGTGGGCGTGTGGGCGTGTGCGGGACAGTGGCGGGATGACCAACGCGGCGCGTTGTCCGGCGACTCATGATGGGCGATGATGGGGCGGAGAGGGAGACAGTTTGATGAGGTCGACTACTACATCGGAATGTACGAGTTCAAGTCTTTGTCAAGCCGTACTTTCTCCGGCTGCACTTTAAGCAGCCGCTGCAAGACTCGATGGAGGACGCCAAGTCGGTGTACAACGACGACACGCGCGAGCTGACCGTTCATCTGCCAAAGCTCAACCACGGCGAGTTCTTCCCGGATCTCAACATGCTCACCGCGCTTATGACTCCCAAGCAGGCCAAGACCAAGCCTGCCCGCCCGGTCATTGAGGTCCTCTCGTCCACGCCGGCTGTAGGCGGCGACATCGACTCGGACGACGACTCGGCGACGGCTCGGACGACGGCGAGGGGCCGAGCGGCCCTGCTGCCACCCGCACTGGTGACAATGTCCCGCGCTCGAGCGAGCTACTGGACATGGAGGTCGCTGGCCCGACTCCGCCGTCGGAGCTGCTGGCCGCCGCCGGTGAGGTCGACTGGTCGTTCCCAGCCCGGAGGGTGGAGGCCGACGGCTCGGCAGCCGACGCGCTGCTCGGACGGGTCCGCTACGGCTTCAATAACGCGCACGCCGAGTTCTTTGCGCCGCTCATGGAAGAGCTTCCGCTGATCCTCGACTCGCCTGCGCCAGACTCGCTCACTGTGGAGCAGCGGCGCGCCGCCATGCGCGAGCGTGAGGCCGGCGATTTTGACTCGGAGCACTACATGGCCGAGTACGCCGAGCCCGAGGCCATCGACGAGCTGCTCGGCGAGCACGCACCGGTTCCGTGGTGGGCCGAAGCATACCAGACGTTGCGGGAGTGGGCTGCCGCCCCCGAGCACGCCGCCGCCTTTGCCGACTTTGCCACCTCTTTCACCCCGCGCCTCGCGTTCCCGGTTCCCACGCCCGGCCTAGCGTCGCCGGTCCCAGCCACTGTCATCGAGCTCGACACGGACGAGCGCGACGAGTTGATGGCGCTGCCGGCAAAGGAGCACCTCGTCGACGAACCGACCCGCGAGCTCAACGGACTACTCGAGATCCTTGCCGCCTACGCATACGACATGCGGATGACCGGCGGGGAGCACAATGTCGAGTCTGCGTGGACGGTGGCTAAGCTGAATGGGCTCACGTCATGGCTGACAGTTCCACACTCTCCGCGCGAGGCCCTGCTCTCAGTCATGCGCCGCTCGCTCGTCTATCCGCTCTACCGCTCATGGAAGCTCGCATCGCGCATCCGCCGCGACGCGCTCATGATCGCTTGCACCGGCCGCATGGGTGTCCTCAAGGCTCTCCTCGACATCCACAAGCTCTTCAAGCTCTCCGAGGACAAGTACTACTTTAACGAGCTGTACATCGAGGACTACTGCGTGTGGATCCAGTCGCTCTCCGACGCCACCTACCTTGCTTGGCTCGCCTCGTCCCTCACCGCGCCCAAGATCTCCAAGGCTGACCTCGGTGCCGACCTCGACATCCCGTTTTGGGAGGCCGCCGCCGACGATCGACTTGCTGGCGAGTTGTAGTCAGACCTATCCCCCCCCCCCCCCTCCAGCTCGCCCGAATACAGAAGACGTTGTCCTTGTGCCCGTGTCCGTGCGTGTGTCCGACGCCGCGCCGTTGCTGTCGCCGTCCCCGTGTCACCGCCAACTCGTCTCACAATCCACCCACACCCATACCCATACCCGCAATTCGCCCACCCACCCACATACCTACACCCATCATGCACACCCTCGCACTTGTGACGCTGCTGGTAGCTGTGGTCGTCGCTACTGTCACTGGGTATCCTGGCGCTGCGTCGCAACCGTTCGGCCACACCCGCGGCCGCGCACATGACAAGACCATCGACGGTGGTTCTGGACACGGCCTGCCTAATGTGACCCATGCACTGGCCGGAGGCGGTAGTGGAAGCAGGAAGGCTCAGTTTGTGCACACATTTGTCAACCGGAGCCTGGACGGCGTGAGGTACACGGGGCATCTGCTGGTGCTGGACAACCCGTCACCGGGCACCTTTGCGCTCCTCCCGCCGTATCCCGGTGGATGTGGGACAAAGGCTTATACAACGAGCACAGCGGCAGCCGGGCGCTGTCTGGCGGCGACCAACGCTGGCTTCTTTGACGTCGCCACGGGCGCCTGCCTCGGATCGCTGGTCTCGGACGGCAAGGTCGTCCAGGCTTCGACGCTGGTCCGGCCGTCGTTCGGCATGCTAGCCGCAAACGCACACCGGACGCATCCGGTCTTCTTTGCTGGCTACGTGGCAGCAACAACCGAGACCGAACTTGCTTCTGCTGGCTTTGTCAACCTTGTGTCTGGTGTCGGCTGGCTCGTTGCCAACGGTACCTCGTTCCTGAATGCCTCGATCGCCATCGAGCACCCGTCGCCGAGTTTTGTGGCCGAGGCCGCACCGCGGCTGGCCATTGGCCACGACGCCGACGGCCGGCTAATGATTCTCGAGGTCGACGGTGACGAGATCTTCAAGACCGGGCCGAACCTGGTCCAGCTCACTGCCCTCGCGCTCGATCTCGGCTTCTACAATGCTGTCAACCTCGACGGTGGCGGTTCGGACACCGTCGTGCTCGGCTCGTCAATCTGCTCCTCGTGTGGCGCGCTCAACCAGACGTGCACCGACATCAAGGCATCCGCCACGCCGACCATGCCCGCCGCCTCCGCGCCGCCCACGCCGGCCGGCGAATACATGCCCTGCATCAAGTGCGGCTACGCCGCCGGCCACAACCTCCACATACCGCTCTGCCAGCGGCTGGTCACCTCGATCACCTGCATCCGCGACACGCCAGATGAGATCCTCACCACACCGTAGGGGCCGCGCGCCTGCAACTGTTCCATGGTCATCCGACAATCTAAAGCTCCATCCGCCGGCCATCGCATGCGGTCATCGCGCCGCCCGTTCGCCGGTCCCCCGCCCCCCCCCCCCCCACCCCCCACCACACACACGCCACACCACACCACCACACTCTCTCACAACACCCACCCATGGCTGACGAAGAGTACCCGCCGACGGTAGCCAACCTCCTTGCGCAGCAGTCGCTGCGGTGGATCCTTGTGGGCGGCAAGGGCGGGGTGGGCAAGACCACGACCTCGTGCTCACTCGCCCTCCTCCTCTCCAAGGTACGGACCATGCCGAGGGTATATCTCGAGCACTGCGTGTGCTTTCCCTGCCACTCACTCACCACTACACTTTCCGCGGTATGCGCCCGCAGCACCGATCGCGGGTCCTGCTCATCTCGACGGATCCGGCACACAACCTCTCGGACGCGTTCCGGACCAAGATCGGGTCCGAGCCAACGCGGATCACCGAGACGCTCGATGCCATGGAGGTCAAGGCGTCGGTGCCCAAGGACGTGCTCGAGTCTGACGATGGTGCTGGCCTGCAGGCCATGCTCGGCAAGTTTGAGTTCCCAGGCGCCGATGAGCTCTTTGCCATCTCGCATGTGATGAAGCTCGCGGCGTCGATGGAGTACGACACGGTGGTTCTCGACACGGCGCCGACCGGGCACACGCTGCGGTTCCTGCAGCTGCCCGAGACGATGGACAACTTCCTCAACACCTTTACCTCGGGGCCGATGGGCGGAATGCTCACCCAGCTGATGGGCGCCAACGGCGAGCACATGGAGCGCATCAACGAGATGAAGACCCACATCCGTATGGCCAAGACCCAGTTCACCGACCCGGACCTCACCACCTTTGTCTGCGTCTGCATTCCGGAGTTCCTCTCGGTCTACGAGACCGAGCGTCTCATCCAGGAGCTGACCGAGAACGACATCGACGTCCAGAACATCGTTGTCAACCAGGTTGTCCGCGACCCGCCTGCGCCGTGCACCCAGTGCGCCGCACGCATCGCCATGCAGGGCAAGTACCTCGGCCAGATTGCAGACCTCTACGACGACTTTCACGTCTCCATCATCCCGCTCCTCCAGCGCGAGGTCCGCGGCATCCCGGACCTCACCGTCTTTGGCTCGCTCCTCCTTCATCCCGAGTCGACCGAGCCCGTCCTTCCCGAGCAGGAGTAAACGCCGCTCGCCGCATCAACCTCTCTTGTCGTGATCACCACTGCATGCGCAGGCTCTGTGATCACTGACAGGGAAAGACAGATCGGCCCAAGCTGCATGTCTGGCCCTCCCTCCATTGCAAGCCGGCCACCGCGACGACGGCGCAGACTACGAACAAGCCGCACCACTCCACTCGTCCCGGATTCCCCCTTCCACACAACCTCGCACATGGTACGCCCTCCTCCCGCCTCCGTTTCCCCCTTCCCCTTCCCCTCGCTCCTCGCCCCCTCACACACACACACTCTCTCTCTCACTCACACACACATACATACACACACAGGCTGCATCGTCTACGCCTGAGAGTGACGTCAAGTTCGCTGGCCGGTTCGAGCTGTCGCTGCCGCTGGCGCCCCACGAGCGGCCGGTGCAGGACTTTGGATGCACGCTGCAGCGGTCGGATTGGAAGATGCCACACGCTGGAACATTGTACATCACTCGGATGGGCTTGTTCTTCTATGTGGCCAACAGGCTGGTAGGTGGGACGGCCCACGTGTCGTTTGCCGATGTGACGGCTGTCGAGGCCACCAGCAACTTGCTCATGCTCCCGGCCATCCGCGTCGAGACCTACACCGGCACGCTGTTCTTCAGCAACTTTATCCATCGCGCCAACTGTCTCGCTATCATCCAGCACATGGTGGCCGCCACGCTGACGCCGCTCACCTTTTTGCACCGCAAGCTCGTCCGAGGCAGCGACGTGGCGTCGGGCATGATGACCGGCGGGGCCGCGCTCCGTGGCCGTCTGCTTGGCCGTGGGCAGGACGAGGATGTGCTGTTCAAGCAGCTCAAGACCTCGCGCGCCCTGCAGCTCGCGTACGAGACACTCGACATCGGAACATCAACGCTGACCGAGCTGGACCACCAGGGCGAGCTCATCGCCCGCCAGCGTGTCGCCATGGCCCACATCCACGCCAACATGGACGAAGCTGACCGCCTCCTCCGCGGAATGAGCTTGACCGGCGCCGCAGCCAACGCATTCACTTCGCGACCGACGTCGGTCGAGGACGCCGACGCTGCAGCGTCGGCCAGCATCAATACTCGCGGCTGATGCAGGTACCTGTTGTCGACTGCACGACCTCGTCGTACACTGCCTCCCGCTTGGTCTTTACCGATACCGCGCTCTGCATCCTTGGCGGCGACGTGGAAGGCGATGCCGACGCGAGCCGCACCCTCGTCCGCGTTGCGCCTTACACCGGCATTTCGTCGTTGACCCTCCTACCACGGGCTTACCACCTTTGCATCGAGCTCACATCCGCCGCCGTCGCCTCCAACGCCGATGCACCCAAGGGCTCGGCCATCCGTAGCGAAAGCATGGTTGTTGTCACCGCGTACCTAGAGGACATTCTCCTAGAGCTGGGCGAGCGGCGTGTAGCCGACATCCCGCTCATTGTCGATGACGGCGCCGCGCCGCTCTCCCACAAGTCCTCGTTCTACGCCAGCTCACCAGCATTTGGTGGCAAGGTGACTCCGGCGGCGATGGCGAAGCGCGTCGACGCGCTCCGCAACCCTGAGTTTGTTCCCTTGTCCGCCCAAGCCTTTATGCCGTCGGCAGACACCGATGCCGCTGCCCGCGAGCGCCTCCGCCAGCAGCAAGCCCTCATCGAGGCCGAGGACCAGCAGCTCGACGAAATGTCGCGTGTGCTGGAAAAGCTCAAGGCAGTGGCCACCACCATGGGCACCACCCTCGATCGCCAGAACGCCGACCTCGATCAGCTGGAGAAGGACGTCGACAGCGGCTCGAGCCGCATTCACTCTGCCAACCGCAAGATCATCAAGAAACTGCACTGATTGTCCGACGCGATGAGGGACTTTACACGCCCGGCTCGCATCTCCCGCTACAACTTGCTCCAAAGCTTACTCGCCCTCGCCCTCGCCCTCGCCTTTGGCCTTGGGCTTAAACTTGAGCGAGACCGAGTTTGCACAATGCCGCTCGTTGGTTGGCGTCTTAAAGCCCTCGCCGGCAAAGACGTGGCCGATGTGTCCGCCGCATGCTGAGCACAGGATCTCGGTCCGGGTGTCCGGGAAGCTCTCCGACTTGCGGGCCACCGCGCCCTCGACCGAGTCGTAGAACGCCGGCCAGCCACAGCCCGAGTCAAACTAGAGCCGCACCCTTCTCGTGAGATTACATGCCCTCCCTTCACTCCAAACACCAACGCCATCACACCCATCGCCGCCAACATACCTTGTGCTCCGCCTCGTACAAGGGCGTCTCGCATCCGGCGCATAGGTACGTGCCCTCCTCAAAGTGCTTGTTGTACTCGCCAGTCCCTGCCCGCTCCGTCCCTACCTCCGCCCATGCCAGTCCACCGCCCCATATCATATCGTTCCCGATGAATACCCGGCCTCCTCCTCCCTTTCTCCATCATCCGCCTCCTGTCGACCGAAACGAGCACATGACCCCCTCTTCCCACTCTTCCCCCTCCATCATCCTCGTCACACCGGCATCACCATCCACCCCCTTACATCGCACCTGCACAATGCCACTGCTGACGCCACTGCTGACGCCACCTTCTCCCCCTCCCCCCTCCCCCCTCCCCCCTCCCCCTCCCCTCCCCTCCCCTTACATCGCACCTGCACAATGCCACTGCTGACGCCACTGCTGACGCCACCTTCTCCCCCTCCCCCCTCCCCCCTCCCCCCTCTGCCTCCCCTCCCCTCCCCTTACATCGCACCTGCACAACGCCACTGCTGACGCCACTGGTGAGGCCACCGCCCCCCCCCCCCACGTCCAAAACCCCTTTCCCCCGCCGCGCTGCCCGGCCGACTCAAGGGTTTGCCCCACCACTGCCAGGGAAATACGCCCCCCCTGGTTCGGCGAAGATTGAGAGCTCCTCG